TTCAATATCGAGGATGCTCACACAGAGCGAATGGTCAAGCCGTCTCTCCTTGACCAAGATCAGTTGAAAGTTTGACTGCGAACAAGAGACAAAAGTGCTGACGCGGTAGCGAACATTACCAAATCTTCTTGCAATGCGGACTGACATCGAAATGAAGACTGAGAAAATGAGGATCATCGGGTTTGAGCTTGCACACATACTCATACCTCTGATAAATCTTGGAGGGGCATCCAGAGGCCAGAGTTGAGACGGCATTAATGGCACGGCTAGCTAGCCTTTTGACGGCCGTGTCAAGATGTTCCTGAGAAGGGTTCGTGCCATTTCAATCCCATTTAGTCGGCGTACTCGCACACGATAAGCCCACGCGAACCGCTCGAACCCCTTTTCTGTCCTAGACCAGGGACAACAGACGATGGGCCTTGTAAACAGCTGCTGTAAGTGTGAAGTCATTGGGGTAGGTAGCACGGTAGTACGTGATGAATTTACTGATTGAGTGAGTGAAAATGATGATGGCTTCACATCGATACGTCATGTCATAGTCAGTTGTGCATACCACTTGTATAAGCCTACGTGTGTTGTACAAACGCATGCCAGGATACATGTTAATCCGACTTTCAGAGGCCTCACACTCGCGAATCTATGAGGCGACATGTGGGCGGATTCATAGTCGCAGGCTGCAGCCAGAAAAGTAGCTCCTAGCCAAGCGCAAACTTGACATCGGCTCAAGCATTGGCAAGCGGTAAAAGAAATGGACAGCTTGGCTTGCTCGGGCCAAGATGCAAATTGTGTGGGGGATGAACAGGACTGGATTTGGAAGGGAGAGACTTTAGGGGCATTTTTTGCAGAATGTTAGCTCTTGAGCGTGGTATGGCTGAGCTTGCTAGGCGGGCCGGGTTCAAAATGATAGCTTGGCAGGGGGAGTAGAGGACATTTGGCATTGGGGCAGTGCTCTTGGGAGGTCTTCTGCCAAATTGCAACTCTGTCCTCTAGTTGTGTTGGTTATCTTGAGTCTTGATCGCGAGTCTTGAGACGTTTCTGACTACAGCATCGTGACAGGTGCATTGGCGACTGAGTAAGTCATTGACTAAGATGAGGGAGTACGCAGTACCTATGAGGTGTGAGGTGTGAGGTGTGAGGTGTGAGGTGTGAGGTGTGAGGATGAGTATGAGTGTGAGTGTGAGTGGCAGAGTGCAGTGCGGGTGATTGTGCTGACTGATGCCCGTCGTGCCGTTGCGGGCGGACCGGCGAACCTGGAACGGAAAGTCGGCGACGGGGAACAACAAAATGGGCGAACAACTTTTTTCGACTGGGCATTCCTTAGAGGGTCCACTAGAGAGAGGGGGTGGATGCCTGTCTTGGCCAATGGAAATGCGCTCAATGCTGTTATGCCACGATGGGAAAGTGCGATACGTACCTGGCTGACGAATGGGAAGGACCTGGATGGGATGTGGAACGTGCAGGGCAGGAGGGAGCAGCTGCCACCTGCACTCCCGGGTCCCGTCTGCAGATTCCCAGAGTCGTAGAGAAGGAGCCGACAAGTCACAAGCACTGCAACAGCAATAGAAGGCAGGTGTGAGGCAGTCAGCAACTGCTCGAACAGACAACAATAAAACCAAGGTACAACGCGATACAGTTCAATATGAATAGATACTTTGCATCATCCCCCGCGTAATCTGCCCAGGCCTGGTCAATGTTGTCCCTCCCACTTCCATCACAACGGGCGGGCAGTTTGGGTAACGGATTCCCCGGAGAAGTACACCCCAGCCAAATATGTGCGTAACGATACCTTCTAGAGGTCGACCCCACTTGCAATATGGGCGTTACCGAAGCCTCCGGCTCGCTTCCATGTATTTGTACGAAATACGTATGCGTACCTTACCTACGGAGTACTGTGGAGGTATGTACGGATAGGTAGGCCGTCCAGGTCGGGTTTCTCAGTGTCCGGTGCATCAGCGAAGCCACAATCTAATGGACACGACGACCGGGTCTTTTCCAATTTGGCGCTTCTCTCTCCTTTTCATTCATGCCCAACCCAGCCGTGAGCCTCATTCTTCTTTCGCCATTCTCTCTTTTGCATCCTACATATCTCTATTTACACGACATATCGCCCCCAAAATCCTCTCCGTCCGACAAAAAACCACCATAGGAGAGGAGGACTGCCTGCACCCAAGGGTCCCGTCGCCGTCCCATGATAGCTTCTCCCTCCCTCCACTCCCACACCAACCTTACCTTGTCCTCACCCACGGTAACGACCGACCTTTCAAGCCTTGGCCTGACCGACCGACCGACCGATCGAAACCCTCAGACCCCTTCCCGCGACCGTCCCCACGCGCCTCATTGCACCAATACCGCTACGCTACAACCTCCCCTGTAGACATTCGCTTGCTCTACAGCGTACCTTGCCGCCCACCCGTCTCGTCTCGTCCGGTCCCTATTGTTGCTTACCTTACCTTACCTCACCATCCTCGACGCTTCGTCCGAACCTCGCCAATTGCATTGCGACATCCTCAAGCCCGCCCCGCTCCAAACACTTCAGCCAGGCTCAAGTCTGTGACACGTCTGGCTCCAGCGCGCCCCGACAAGCCCAGCACACCAAGGCCCAGCAGCACAGGGGACGCTTCTGCTATTTCGAAACGCCCGTCATGGCGCGACTTGACTCTTTTACGGCCTCGTTGCCGCTCAAGTCTTTCTCCTCCTTCAAGACACTCGCTGCTGCTGCATACATCCTCACATCGCTTCCCATGGCTCTCGGTCACGAACACGGCGTCAGCCACATCCAAGAGGGCGAGACCGTCTCGCAAGAACCCATCGTAAGCGACCATCACCACTTCACCGAACCCAGAGACTGCACGCACGCAGACTGCCTTCGAGAAAAACTGCCCGACCTCATGAAACACCTCCGAGAAACACGAGAAACAAAAAGGCCAGGAATGCTAACTGACGATAATTGCAGGACACAATACTATGGATTCATATCTTCATCATGATGCTGGCCTTCGGGGTCATCTTCCCCGTCGGCATGGTCTTGGGCGTAAGTGGCGATCCTACCCGGTCTACAAGTTTCTGAACTTCCCAAGAGTTGCTAACGATTGCCTCTCTTTAGATGACCAAGAACCGCTGGCATGTTCCGACTCAAGTCCTCGGCTCCGCCCTCGCCATTGTCGGATATTTCCTCGGCCACATGCATGGCGGAAGACAGTTCGTTGCCCATAACGTCCATGCCTCCTTCGCCAACTGGCTCATGATTATCATGGCCTCCCAGGTCGGCTTGGGCATTTACCTCAGGCTGCATCTCGAGAAGGGCATCAACGGTCGTATCCGCCGCTTTATCAAGCCCGCCCACAGCATCTTGGGCAAGGCCTCGCCAGTCTTGGCTTGGACACAATTCTTGTTTGGCGGCATTACCTCGCTGGGTTTCTGCCAGGGCGACCATCTCGGCCAGTGTTTGGCGCATTTCATCATGGGTAGCGCCTTCATTGCTTACGGAATCATCTTGACCCTGCTTCTCCTCGTTGGACAGCTGTGGGTGCGACGCAGTGGCCGATCCCAGGAATTTTTTGACAGCATTGTTATTGCGGCATGGGGCTGCGTGAACACCTTCACCGAGCATCGATGGGGCACGGAGTGGGTCAGGAACGACTGGCAACATACAACCATGGGTATTATCTGGTGGTGTGCTGGTCTTGTTGGTATCTGGCTCAGCCGGGACCGCGACGGAAACCCCAAGCGCAACTTCATTCCCGGCTTCGTCATTGGTGTCACTGGATGGGCCATGTCTGCTCATCCCCAGGACCTTCCCATCAGCGCCATGACCCACAGCATGTTTGGCAAGACCTTGATGGGTGTCGGCATTACCCGTGTTATTGAGGTTGCCTTCGTTGTCAAGGACGGCGTTGGCGTCTCTGCTGATGGACGCCAAACCAACAGCTGGCAGTTCATTCCTGTCTTCGTAAGTCATTTATCACCCAAAAGCCGTTGTTTGAGCACTATCTAATGCCTTGTAGCTTTTGTACGCCTCTGGCTTCCTCTTTATGGGTGCCACTGAGGAGCAGATGGAACTTGTCGCCAACTCGGGTCTCGACCACGTGTCGTATATCCTTATCCTCTACTCCTTCGCATTCCTTCTCTTCCTTTTCACCATGATGCTCATTCACCTGTTCGACCGTAACACCAACACCGAAGGCAAGGTCAACCTGGCGAATGGCGTGCCCCTGGCCAACGGTCGCCCCGGTGAAACCCGTCAAGTGCGTGATGCCGAGGAATTCGAGCTCGAGGGCCTTATGAGCGACGACGACGATGACGAGGCCCGCAAAGGCCTGAAGGACGAAGTTGATGACGAGGGAAGCCCTAGCAGCCCCAGCACTATTGGAAAGAACAGTGACAGAGTAGCGCGGTGATGAGTGTAAAAGAGTAGTCTACATTGGCGTTGATTGAATAGATGGGAAAGGCATATCGCATTTCAGGTTCGGCGTTTGGATCCAGGTTGCAGCACATTTCATGGGCAGGAAAGCGTCTCAATAGGACAACAATCTCGATTTGTAGTTTGACATCTTGAAATTTCATTTGCTCGGATCTATCACGATATACAGTTGTTCGAGTAGATGTGGCACATAGAAATACGGTAATATCTCAACAGCCCGTTGTGGGCATCATGTATTATGTTCTGGCTTTCTTGCCGAAAGACCGAGCGGCATACAAGTACTGCCACAGAGCCGTGTCTTACTACCCTACTCCCTCCAGGTCTGGCTTTACCTTGATGTACACCGACCTCGGTGAGGCGTGTGGGGTCGGCGAGGGGCGACCTCACCTTAGCGGGGCAGACCTGGACCCCGACCCTGCATCCCGCCCCGTGCCCCGCTTTAAAAAATCCCAGAGCGACGCTCCATCGTATTGCATCCGCTGCCCAGTTTTGACATTCCGTCTTCGACACCGTCTCTCCTCTCCCTCTCCCTACGTCGAATTGCCCAACCCTTTCGACGACACCAAAGACCACCGCCACCATGCCGTCAGTCAAGAACCCCAACGGTCCCTCCAAGAACCGCCTGGCCAACAAGGCCCTCGGCGCCAAGATTGCCCGCCGTAAGAAGTCCGAGGCGAACAAGCACAAGATTGCGAGGACGGACACCATGCGCGGCGCGAGGCCCGGTCTGATGGCCACCAGCGGTCCCAACGCGCCCATGAGCAAGAAGAAGGCCAAGAAGATGGAGAAGAAGATTGCCCATGCGATGAGGAGGAAGATGGAGGCTGAGGGAGAGGTTGTCATGCAGGGTGAGTGCTCCTCGTGCTACTATGGACAAGACTTTGGGGCGGAATGAGACGCTTGAAGTAAGTGGCGACCAAAGCTGACTTAGATTGTTACAGATGTTGAGGAGACTGCCGAGAAGCCCGAGGAGGGAGATATGGAGACGGAGACCATTGCATAGACGTTGGGTGAAGATACGGGAGCAAGGTTGAGGGATGCGAAAGCCCGGAATGGCGTTGCGGGGCACTTCACGGGCAACAGTAGGGAAGGTTTCACAAGGAGCAGTCATGGCCATGCTTCGTGAGTAAACCAGTCTACTGCATTCCTGGAAAAACCATCCAACTAACAATCTCACAAGTCTAACCAAAGTACCACCCAACAACCTAGCCCAAATACATACGAAATTTGATACCCCCCAAAATCAGCATGACCATCGTTCAAACCTGATCGCGAGAAGCCCGTTCCTGACATCCCTTACATTGACACACGACAGTCCAGGGTTCGGAAGGAGGTTGAGGAAGTGTGGAACTTGCAGGACAATCTGGCTCTGCTGACGTTCCTTGAGACCGCGAGGCCGCGAGTGGTGCCCTATGACTGGCTTCTCCGAGATCTTTCTTTGGGTAGTGTGAGCCATAATATTCAAGAAATGGTGACTTTCTGAGCCTGAGCTGTTCTCGTTCCCTGGAAGCGGGTAACTGCTCAATGTTCGCCAGCGAGTCTTGTGAGGATGAGAGGAGATCCCAGGCGTCCTTGGGGCTGTTTGCTTCTACCATGAGATAGGATTGACTAGGCAGCGGGCGGGATTCGGATGATGAGAGAAGGTTAGATGTATCACATGAGCTTCCAGACTTTGGCGTCAAGTACGGCGATCTCATGAACAAGCTTTGGTAAATGGGGGCTTGTACATGTGGCACACAAGCTTCTGTTCCCTGATATCCCAGCTGGTACGAAGGGTCCGGCACCATTGGAAACGAGAGATCTGAATCCGGGTTGAGGCATGCAAGGCTGGACTCGACATAGCCGTACTCTCCCACGAGACTCTCACTAGTCGAGCCAGCGCGCTCTTCAACAGCTTGCGTACTTGCCGCCTTGAGGTCAGTATCGGTATCAGTCTCCGTGTCTGCCTCCGTCTCTGTATCATCTTGCCAGGCTGTACCACCCCAACGTCGGAAAAGCGACTTCACCTGTCCCACAGCCTTCTCGTACATCGTCTGACCAAAGAACGGATCGTTGATGCTATCCTCAACACCTTTCTTGCGACTGCCATTCGCACCCTCGGACGTGGGCACGCGACCGATACGGTCTTGAAAGATGGCCCGGCGGAGGACGCTCGACTTGATGAGCTCCGCTGCGATTCTGCGCTCCGAGATGCGGCATTGTCGCTCGTAGTGGAGCAGGATCTGGATGGTGTCGATGCCGCGGATGAGTTCCGAAGCATCGGGGATCAGTTGGTTCTCTTCGGCCATGGCGAATCTCTCGGTATCCTGGCTGGATGGGAACGAGAGGAGGTTCTGGGCCGAGGAGCCGCTGCTTGTCGTTGAGGGCGTGCTGACGCCCGAGCCGTTAGTTTCGGTGCAGGGGATATCCAGAGATGAGTGCTTCTTTGGGAGACGATACTCGTCGCCGGCGATGAACTCCAGCCAGCGGGCGGCACTTTCTCCCTGGCGAATATCAGTTCCATCAGGTGTCACCGGTCTCTTGCCTTTGACATCATCGGGAGCCTGTTCTAGGCTTTCCAGACTCAGAAGCGGACGGCATGCGTACATCTCTGCCAACTTCTTCACCCTGAGAGAATGCAAAGGGCGATCAAGCTGTTGCGGCGTCTCGGGGCGAGCGTTAGGGGAAGACTGAGACACCGGCTTGACGATGCAATAGTCTAGAACGCCGATGACGGTTGACAAGGCATCTTCCCAGCCGTTGAGATAGCCTTGCTCAGCTGGCTTAGTAGCAGGCGACCCGCCAATTCGGAGCAACTCAATCTCTTCGTGGAAAATGTGGACGATGCTCATGAGAGATTCACGGGCGGCATTGTATCTCTCTTCGCTGCGGCAGGTTTCGGCGAGCGCTCTGAGGGTGTAGCCTGCGACTTTGACCGGGCGTTGGCCGCCGTGGCGGATGGGCACGAAGTAGCTCGCGGGATAGAGGTCGAGATTACCGAGCGTATCTTCTGGTCTCGGGGACATGCTGGATGCGGTGCTTTGTATTTCAGATGAACAATTCATTGGTGGGAGTGAGAATGATAATAATTTGGATGAGGCTGAGATGAGGAAGACGGCGCTATCATCTAGATGGAGCAATGACGAGGCCTTTTTAAATATGACTTCGGGCACCCCCTTGGAGAGATATCGAGTTGGATCGTGGCTTCAAACAGAGGCCCGGCGATAGATGGACGACGAAGCTGGAGCAGGTGATGTCTTTGTCTCGATGTCAAAGATTTTGGGATCTTCAAACATGGAAATCCGTCATTATCAGGGCCTTAGGCTCGGCTTGTAAGCTACCTGGGCTACATGCTGGAAAGGTCAAAGACCATATCACAACTCAACAACTCGGATCAAGTTGCGGAAAACCTAAAGCGTTCTTCCATGGGTTCGGACTACAACGGGCTTTAAGGAAACCGACGGTTAACACGACCAAAGAATCGCGTCTTTTCTAGGAGATTTTGATATCATCAATATACGCATTAGCACACACAACTAAAGCTTTGCCAGCTTAATGAAGAAGCAAAACAGAATGGAGATTAGAAAAAGGCCAAAGAAGGCATTATCGGGGCACTATGAACGAATGTATGTGGCCGCAGACCACTCGTCAAAGGAACTAGGATCCTCACCCCAGGGTCCAACACCGGGCCCCTTGAAGAGAGAACCTCCTTTCCAGACCCATGCGACATTCTCAATCTTTTGCAGCACCCTGACGTCTTCCAACGGGTTCTCCAACAGACCAAGAACATCTGCCTCATATCCAGCCTTGAGCTGTCCTGTCTTGGGCGCTTGTCCACCCACGCTGAGCGGCCCATTCGCGGTCGCCGCTTTGATAGCCTCCAGATTGCTCATTCCTGCCTTCACAGCCGCCTCCAACTCCATTGCCATGTTGAACCCGGGTCCCGTGTCTGTACCTAGGGCAATCGGAATACCAGCCTCGATGGCCATCTTGTATGCCGCCAAGTGATTCGTGGCACACAGCTTCACCTTCTCCCAAGCTGTAGGAGGGATCCCCTTCCCTCCGGTGCCGAGCAGCAAGTCCATGACGAGACGTGTGGCAATGTAGATGATGCCCTTCTCCTTGATGAGATCGATGCACTCGCGGTCGGCAAACGAGACATGCTCCAACGTCGTGACGCCAGCCTTGATGGCGGCCATGATGCCGGGCTTGCCATGGACATGCGCCGCGACCACGCGATTTTGTCTGTTTGCCTCTTCCACGATCGTCTCGAGTTCCGCAGGACTAAACTGCGCGTAGAGCGGATTATCGTCACGAGACATCACGCCGCCAGAGGCCATGACCTTGATGCACTTTGCCCCTCGCCGAATCTGCAATCGGACGGCGCGGCGACACTCATCAACGCCGTCCACGATCATGCTCGTTGCAGTGCCAAAGTGCCCTGCAGTGACTTGCGACACGCCCAAGTTCAACAGCACATCTCCAGCTGGGAGAGAGAAGATGTCACCGTGGCCAGCCAGCTGGCTGATACACGCGCCGGAGCTGTAGACGTTGGGTCCCACAATGGATCCATCTTCGATGGCGCGGGAGATCTCGCAGCCCATGCCAGCCACATCGCGGAGGGACGTGTATCCTCTCTGCAGAGCCAGCCAGCACATGCGCGTGAGACGGGCGCCGGATGCGGCGGGGTGCTCTGTGATAAAGACCTGGTAGGGATCGCCACTGGATCCTGCGTCGGGAGACTCTCCCCCAAAGTGAGCGTGACAGTCCCAGAGACCGGGCATCAGGTATGGGGTGGAGTAGGACTTGTGAGGAGAGTCGGTGTACTCTTTAGGGATTGCCGACTGCGGGCCGACCCAGGCGATGAGCTTTGATGATATGACGAGGGCGGCATCTTTGGTGGGTTCGCCGTCGCCGGGGATGAGAAGGGAGGTGGTGATGATGGTGAGAGTTGTTTTCTTGGAGATGCTAACGGGCAGTTCGGTGTCCGTGCCGGTGTAGATTGGCCTGAATGAGCCACCCAGAGACGCAGAGTAGATCTGGGCTGGTCGTTCGATGAGACGCCGTGTCATATTGGCTGTGTCAATTGAGTTCTATCATAAGTTTCGATTGAGCTTTAGTCAATTGGTATCTCAAGACTCAGTCGCGATATGAGATCAAACCTGGCCTTTATGAGGCGACTGGTGATGCTTCGCGGCGTAGTAGGACCATGAGTGTTCCAGCGGTCCCGAGTACCTAATTAGGAAGGTCGTCTCGTCGTCTTACTGTGCCGTCTTTGACCAATCCTCATTGAGAATGGGAGGTTCCCAGGATTGGCCCTATATCCGGGATCATGGGCAAGTGGCTGTGAGCGGCCAACGTTGCGATTCAGAGCTACAAATTGTCATGATGTCCTTTTCGACGTTCACTGAGAAAGGGGATTTTGATCGGTTGAGATAAGTACAGGTCAGATTGATATGATTCGACATTCATTACGCTCATCCCCGTTTAGCTATCTTGTAATACGCAAGTCTACTTCGAGCTGCTTTGCAGAACCTTGGAAGCCACCTGCTGACACAGATCCGTGATACTCTGGTTCTTGAGAATCTCGAATACAGGCACCTCAACAAGGAGCTGTTTCATGAACCAATACCGAACCTCAACCGCAATCAAGGAATCAACACCAACAACGTACGCCGGTTTCCCGACATCAAGCGTCTCAATCGGCACAGACAGCGATTTGGCCAGCTTTTGTACGAGACCCTGGGTTACGATCTCGCTGGCAGTCGACAAGTCAGGCGCCGCTTTCACCAAAGCCAGCCGGTTGACGTCGTCGCTTCCATCACCATTGCCTCCACCAGCCCCACGGCCATTGCCGCTAGCCTCGGTCTCGCCCATACGGAGAAGATTGCTGAACATGGGCTTCTGCATCCAATCCAAGAGCCCTTGTTGTGTCATGCGCGCCAGGTCCGCCGCGCTGTCCACCATGTTGACGACCTGAGCTGCGCCAGGCTTTGCGCAGTCGTAGCTTGGGTCGCAGAGCAA